AATCTCAGCTTGCACATGGAAACCCAGGTGCTCAGGGCAAACAGCCTGGGATCTGGGGCCTGGACTAAGGGCATGGACAGCCTGAAGGCTGATTGCTTGCRGCAGGTATTTGCTACCTTAACTCACCTCCAAGAACATGATGCTAACACTTGTCCTATTTTACAAATGACATTTATCGAAGGTAGAAGAGGAAAGTTAGAGAATCAACAAGTGACCTGGAAGAGGAAGGTGAGAGAAATGAGCAACTGAGTGCAGCTGTACGAAAGAGGCTCATCTGAAGGGAAGCAGAGCGTGAGAGTCTGCTCTGGGGCTAAAAATGTGGAGTGGTTTCCCTTTGAGATGGGACATCAGTCCTTAGAGCTTGACTGTATGACAAGTCTTCATTTAAAACACACCCGTCTTGTACAATCTGCCTAGTTTTGCCAGCCTGCTTGGGCTTACGTGCTTCCACTGGATGTCACTGTTGCTCTCTGTGAATCCAGGAAAAATATCATTTTACCTGTGCTGAAAATGATGGCTTGAAATGGGGAGGAAAGAATGCAAGCAGGGTTATTTCTCCCCTGTTTGGATTCACAGATTTGGGGTGCAGATGGGCAGTGTGTGCTGCCTTCCCGCCTCCTAGTTCTGGTTTGCTGCAGCCAAGCTGCTGAGTTTAGTTGGCCTTGCTGAACGGTGCTTTGGATTTATGCATTGCTTAAAGGCAAAGCCATCCTTCTGGGTTGGAAAAAAATCTTGCTGGCATGTTGTATCCTTTTAATAGCAGCGGGGAGAAAAAAGAGGAGAGAAACTATATACACAGCACAACCTGATTCAAGGGACTAGAGGTAAAGCTGAGAAGAGCCCTGACCTCAGCTCTCTTCTGGTGGGAAAAGGGAGGAAGGGAAAAGAAGAAACATTTCTGCCCCATCTAATTACAGAAAAACTCCTCTTAGTAGGGTGTAAAATTCTCAGGTAGGTGCGAATGCTGGCGATGTATTTTCTGAAGGCCAGCAATTAGAAAGCTAAAAGGCGTCTTTTTTCCTGCTGTCCACTGGAGTTTTACTGCTGAGGTACATGGCCAGTGGTTGCTGTTTGCCCCCGATCATCGTGGCACCRTCTGGCTCGTGGTTGCAGCTAGGGCTGTTTTCAGCAGAGGTTTCAGGACGGGGATTCGGGACTGAAGGCATCTGAGTTTCCCCCTTCCCCCCGGTACTTGCGCTGCGCTGTCTTTAAGTGGTTGCTATAAATAAATCACTTCTGTTTTCCCTTTGTCACCAAGAGCTGCATTGTACTCCAGCACTGCTTATCCGCTCTTCCTTTAATGTTCAGCTGCCTCTCGCCCTCCTTCCAGCGCTTAATAAGCAGATGTTGTAATAAGATATTTAATGACAGATCCGTTTGTTCAGTTGTGCTGAATAAATCACGCGCTTGAGCYCTGACTAAAGGAGCTGAAACCTCCGTGGCGGCGGCTGCGGGTGCCCCTGCCCAGCGTGGCCGAGCCCCATGGCAGCCCGGAGGCAGTCGTGAGGCCAGTGCATATTTCAGGGCTTTTTTTCTGCATTTTTACATTTTTTTAATGCTTTTGGATTGCAGGTTGGCTCTCTGCATGCTTTATGCTGCTGCCAAGCCGAGGTAGCTGCTGTTTGGTCAGCAGTGGTGGTTTTGTTCATTTTTTGATGGACAGCAGTAGGATTTTTTTAGTAGAACTGGAAACAGTTAGTCTGGGCACTGGGCAGTTCTTCCTCATCTGGGCGCGAGTTTTCTGTCAAGTGCACTTCCCATTTTGGCAGTGACTAGCACAGGTTGTAACTTGCCTATTTAAGGGAAGTTGCTGAACATTTTTGTCTTGCTTCTTCCACGGSTTCCTTCTGTAGGTGATATCTCAGTAGGTCAGGGCAGAGCTTCCCCCGGGTCCCCGCAGTGAGGATTAGCACTGTCACATCCACAGGAGGCCCCCGCAGCTTAATGGGAGAGTTGGTTGCATAATAGTGCAGCTTCAGCTGGTGCTGCTGCTGGGCTTGAGCCGTGACAGAAGTGCTGAGATTGCTTATGGAGATAACCTGTCACCTTGTCACCACGTAGGCTCCTTCCTTATTTTTTAATGAAGGAATGTTTTCTTTCGCTCATAAAAATGCTTAAACTTGTCATTGTTATCTGCCTCAAATGGGCACCAAAATAAATTCAAGAGCTCTGCTTAGGCTGGAACTATATTTAAACACAGCAGGATCTGCCCTGTGAAAGACAGTGGTCTTTTCTCGTGTGGGCAAAGCTTTATTGGCTTCAATGCATGGGCACATTGGGATGGAAAAGCCCAAAGTATTCAGAGTCCTGCCCCTCTCCTTGGAGTGGTGATAGGAAGACCAGAGTCTCGGCTGTCTCCTTTGCTCCTCAGGCTTCTGATAGCAGAGAGAGGCATTGCTGGGGCAGCACTGAGGCAAATGCTGATACCCTCGGTCTCTTCAGAAAGGTGAGCTGTGTTTTAGTCCATTTATTTGCCTGGAACGTGGTTTGGACAAGCCAGGATGCAAACGTTAAGCCCAAGGAGCGGGAGGAGGCAGCGCGTGCGCCCGCCCGGGCCCAGCTGGCGCTTCACGATGGAGCTCTGCTCTTCTGCAGTTACCCCACGGCGGGGCTGCTTTCGCCTGTGGCCTCTTGCGTTCACGAGCAGCTGTGAGCTTGCAGTGCGAGCTGCCCCTGCCCTGGTCAGGCCCAAGCTGAGCCCGGCCCAAGCTGGGCCCAGCCCAGCTGGCCTCCTGCTGCGCGCAGGGCCGCTCGGAGAAGCCTCCTTGGCAGGGCCCCAGGTTTCATCCTGCGGCTCATGCCGTCAGAGCGAGTGGGATGGGAAGGAAGATGCATCGAGCAGATTATTTCAGATTTCTCTGCCTGGCTGTGGGCTGCAACTCAAAGTGGTATCTGTAGGTGTGGATGTTGGATCCTCGGTTCTTGCACCTCCTGTGGCAGCGAGGTTAGGATTTGCTTGATTTTTCTCTCTTTCCTCCTTGTTTCTAGAAGTGAATCTGCAAATACCTTGCTTAGCAGAAAACCTCCCTTTTGCAAGTCACCTTTAATGACATAGCTGCTTCAAGGTCCACAACAAGCAGCAGCAGCTGCTGCCTCCAGCCTCTGCTTGACAGGGGGAAGGAGCATCTGCCCCGGGAGCATCCCAGCAGCTTTGCCCTTGCACATGCACCAGACTCCTAAGCTCTCYGAACAGTGTGATGTAGCAGGGAGAACGCTAAGCCGGGGTTCAGCCCAACTGCTTGTTATGAAAGGCTGGCTRACATATGTTTTAAAGATAGAGGAGAAAATATGTTGGTACAGTCATTTCTCTGCTTGTGAGTCAACTTGTTCTGATGGTKTTTGAAGTGGAAAGCTCATCATCGTTTGGGGCTTTTAAGTGCAAGTTGAATGCACTGTTAGCTCACCCAGATTTCTGCCGTGCCATGTTTGGCCTGAAATTAGCCCGTCAAAATAGGAAAATAGCAAGAAAATACATTGGTTATGCTAATTACCTGTTGAGCAGGGTTTTGTTTAAATGTTTAACRTGAAAAACCGTAGCAGCAAATAGCAGCTTTTGTAGAGCTGGCATTAGCTTGTTTGTTCCAGAGTACTTTTAGGGTGATCAAGTGAGCAACCTGTGGTGCTTGAGCCACCTGCAGCTCATGAGCAGCTCGAGTGAAGCCCCCAGGCCTCATTAGGGCTACATATATACATGTAATGTGGCCCAGACTGGGGTGTCTGTTGACCTGGAACCTGTGGAGGATCCAACTTGCTGGAACTGAGAGGAAGGAAGCAGGTTAGTTTTGGAGAAGCACACAGCTGGTGGCACGGGTGTCACAGGCAGCCCTGGAGCTGCACCTAAGCCTTTACCTCCCCATCCTTCCCCTTATGAAATATTGCCGTGTGCTCAGCAATATTTAGGCTTTCTCTGCAAAGCCGTGCTTAAGGATCTGTCCTTAACGATCTGCAAAGATCCTTGATCCTTAATGCAGTGAGTGATTTTTTTTTTTTTTAGTTTGTTTTTAAAGTTATATGAGATGGGCTAAGGTCCTGCTGCAGCGTAGCTCTTGTGGTTGCCTGTGTGCAAGGCATCCAGCACAAAAGTGAAGAGTAAATGCTGTGCTGGTGAGCTATACATTAATAGTGGGTATGCAAGGAGATGTGGAGCCGCTCTTCATTTCTAATCCAATGGATGTGTTTATTCTAGAAGAAAGAYAGAGTTTTGAAAGAAAAGGAAGAACGAGGAATAACTTTCCTAGTAAAGGTCTGTTTGTTTTAAAGACTTAATATATTCTGAATGAAATATTCAAGTTTGCATAACTGGAACAGCTGAAATTGAAACTTCAAAAACAACTTGTAGCCTCATTGAGGAGGGAGAACCGGTTCAAGATATAAACAAAAGTAAAATGGCTGAATCAAAATTGTGTCTGTTTTTACTTAATGCGTCCTGGAACATTTAGCTTTTGTTGAATGTAACTGCCTTAACAGTTAACAGGCACGGAGAGAGCCTTGTACCGTATTGTGCAATAACTTCTTTTGCTGTTGGAGTGAAATAATAGCAGTCTCTTAGCAGTAAAGTTTACCTCGCTCTTATAAATTGGATGTGCTGCTCCCATAGGGCTCCAAAAAAGTCTCCATTCACCTGTGTAATCTGTGCTGAGGTAGCACATGAGCAGAGCCCTTTGCACAGGCATAATTTTAGGATAATATTTGCAGGAGAGTTGCAAGTTTAACATGTTCATGCCATCTTCCTGATGAGGATGTTTTTGAAGAAAAACAAACACCTCTAACCATCCCACCCTCCAAAATGCCTTATGAGGCAGGCAGGACTGCAGCAGCTTTTCTCCTTCCAGCAACTAAACTACATAATCATTTTTCCCCTCTTCTTTAATTTCCCTTTCTTTTAATGGTGTAGGCTGTTTCCCAGCAATARTTGTCCTTCACAATTTTCTTCCATAAAGCAGAAGCCTTCTCCAGTTGTTTGCATTGCAATAGCAAAGTGTKTGTGTTTATTTTCCTAGCCATCAGAAATGGAGTGTGGTGTTCACCTGAAGAAAACTAAGCCTCAAGATCCTGGTAGGAACCACCACCACCAGCAAGATGAGGAGACCATTGCAAATACTCTAGAGCACATTGTGGGACAGCTGGATGTTCTGACTCAGGTATGGAGTAGTTTCAGAATGGTCAAGGTTTCTCTGGAGGAATCAGGAATGTTTTTGTGATAGCCTCTTATAAAGCTCCTCTGAGATGCTCCTCCTTTCCCCCACCCCATCCTTGGCTGCGCAGTCCAATTCCTGCAGTCTTCTCCTCCCATGGACAAGTGTTGGCCCTTCCGTGCCTCATCCCAGCCGTGTTTGCTCAGCCACAACTAGCAAGGAACTAAGTGTTGCCACATCTCTTCCTCAGGACCATGAAATAATGCTGAGCATTAGGAGGACTCACCAAACTGAAGGATAACCCTCCATCCCCTTGACAAGGGCTACCCATTAATGGTCATCCAGCACATGATACCTTTCTTAGACCTCAAGGGTAGAGTTGTTCCTGGGAGTTCATTTCTGGGAGAGTTGTTTCTGAGAGTTGTTTTCTAGGAGCTTCTTAGTGTTATTTGAGGGGAAGAACTGTATTGAACAGTAACTAGAAGTCCTAGTTAGGCTTTTCGAGGGAATTAGTTGTTGTCAACAAATGTAAGGTGATGGGTTGGAGGGCACAACAGGGKTTCAGGTAGGTCTCATTTAAGGGTATAAAACATTCCAGGATTGTGCACAACCTAAAACAGTGCAGGGTCAAACCCAGAAGCTACGAGAGTCAGTTTGGCAGCAATACAAGAAAGCACTCTTGTTTTCTGTAATTTTTAGAGCACACTAAACATTAGCAATAAAAAAAAAGGGAAAAGCAGTAGTATGGCATTGGAGCCTCCTGCTTGTGATTAAAATACGTTCTAGTGTATATACAGAATATTTTATTGCTGTTTTTGTCTCTTGAGTAAGATTGGAATGTGATCCTTATCTCTCATTACATAAATCGGTTCCACATTTCTGATGATGGATGTGTAATGGCTCCGCTTCAGCTTCCTAGGTGTTTAGAGGAGGCAAATATTCCAGTAAACAATATGTGTGGGATTTAGGCTAGATATAAGCAATACAAACATAGCTCTAGAAGKTATTGTGCAACTGGAAAAAAATCAGAATGTTGTTTTAAGACTAACAGAGAAATTGAGATCAGTGGGGGAGGAATAAATTAGTAGATGATAGGATAAAATTGGAAATAAGTATGAAGTGTAAAAAGAAAGAAAACCAAAAAAAACCCTGCCTTGACTAGTAACGTTATATCAGCAAACGTAGTTTTTTTGGTTGTCCTTGGAGTATACTTAATTTCCTCTTGATTGTAATGTTTGCTATTAATGCATCTTAATGCATGTGTACATGCAGATCTGTCCAGCATGCAGTTGAAATCATTTTGTACTTGCTCATTTTCACTCTCCTGATATTGCCCTTGTTTGTGATGCTTAGAATTAAAACAAGCCAACACAAAACGGTCCAAGTTAAGCAAAGAGCCCATTCTTGCAATGAGAGGAGACTTCCTTTTGCAGAAGCGGATGGTGACCTGAAGGTGCCACCAAGGAGCCCATCAGTAGCTGCCATCTCCACATAACCCCAAGCAGGTTGGCTGACTTCTTTTGGCAAAAGAAACCCACCATTGTGTCTTGTGTTTAATTTTTTTAGCTTTCATAAATAACACAGAACAGGAATCTTTTTCCCTTAAGGAAAGACTGAGGATGTGCCATTAGTCTCCCGTGGTGTCCTGCCATAAATCATCAGCTCTAATTCCCGAGTGTTGCCTGTTTAAAAGGCAGGAGCAGAACCATAAGGTTTAAGCTCTCCTAGATGAGAAGAAAAGACAAGACTCCCCGTGACATTTCCAGAAACCCTCTTTTGGCACAGCCGTCCCAGGGTTTTCCAGGAATTGGGACGTGTCAGCTTTGTGGGAGGTTGGGTTTACTCCAGTATAATACCTCTGCTTCCTGTGCTTTTTGTTCCCAATGCTGTTAACATAATGTAACACTAAAACTTCCAAAAGTTGTGGTAAGATACGGGAGAAATTGTGTAAATCTCCGCATAGTTTACTCATCTGCTATTATTTTTTAGCTGTCCTTTTGAGGTTTATCATGCCAAATTTCACACACTGTAAAAATAGGGATGGAAATACTGCTTTTTTCTTTGACAATTTTCCCCGGAAAGGAGATGATAATGAGAGATGAGTGAGCCTGGCCATCTCTGGCCAATGCCTGGCTCTGTTTGGGGCTGCACACCAGTTACCAGCAYGTTCCTAATGTCAGTGGTAGCTTTTGAGGTGGAGGGAAGTGTCCTCCACCTGGAGACTGTAGGATTATGGCCTTGGATTAAGAGGTCTCTGCCTGATGTACCATTTATGACAACTGCTGTAGCTARCAGATACGAGTCTCAAACTTGCAAAGCTTCATTTTGTGCTGCTAACATCTTGCTGTGATTTTATTCTTGGGGATTTTTGGCAGCTTGATTTTAACTAGGCTTTGATTCCATTAAAGCTTCCTCTCCCGAGTTATGTCAAGCCAGTTTGTTTTACTCGCAGGGAGGCAGCCTGATGTGATCTGACAGAGTCCCCAGAGTTCCCACTTATTTATTCACTTCCCAGGCTCCTTGTGGTTTTCTAAACATGGGTTGCAGGCCATATTTTACGTGTGAATAAAGGAGGGAGCCTTTGGCTCAGTTTTGCACTTACTGGGCCACCCTGTTGCTCTGAAGGACAGAGTGACGTTAAGACCTGGGCATAAACCTGTTGTTTTCACCAGTTCTTGGGTTGCTTAAGGTAACTTGCCTTGTTGGGAAAGTGGCAAATCCAATGTGATGGAGGAGTGAGGAAGATGAGAGTAATGCAGGTGCCTCGTGCATGTTTTGCACCTTCTTTTGCTACAACTTTTTTTTCTATATGGGAATGATTCCTAAATCTTGTTCCTGTGGGGCTTTTCAGAGAAAATGGCAAAACACTTACTAAGTATTTGTAATCAAAGCCTGGATCGTGGTCTCTAGTGCATATATGAATGAATATTAAAATTTAAGTGGGGGAAAATAAGAGGATTTTTCTCTTGGGTCATTCATTCCTTTGTGTTATAGAACAGAAAGGAGCTTTTGGCTGGAGCCAGAGTAGAGCATTTCCTACCCTTGCAGCTCGGCTGCTCTKCTGAACGAGGCTCATCAGTGAACAACCATCTCGGTTACAGTGGAAATTGGTGTTTGCAGTGCCGAGCTCGAGGGTTTATATACTTCTGTCCTCATTCCTGACACCTGCGCTTGCCACATTTGCTCCGTTAATCTGTAACACTGGTCCTCAATAGGCAGTGAGGAAGAAGCTGCTGGTTTTATGTGGAAGAAAGAGGTTTCTGCTAAATGAAGAGTTCAGAACGGGGTTATCATAAAAAAAAAAAATCATAAATAGCTGAGATAATCCACCCGCAGGAAACAGTTTCATATACATCCCAAACTAATCTGCRTGGAAGCTGGGGGAACATAGCACAATGAAATGGAGAAGACTCCATAAATCCCTGAGATAATCCCAGACGGAACCGAAGGACAATCTAGCTCATGTGAGATTAAAGGATTATTTCACTTAGTCCAGAAGAGATTGCAGAGGAAGGGAGGAAGCGATTTTTTTTTTTAATGAAATTATTTAGTCCAAAAAAAAAACCTTGGAGGAGAATTGGGAAGCTTTTTAATAATGATTTTTTTTTGAAGAGGGTTCCTTTGATGCCTTTGATTGGTAAAAGTTGTTCCTTAGCTGTTGGGTCCCGGCGGCTCCCTTAATTTTTCTGGGTGGTCAGTCCCATTCTGGGGCAGATTGGGAGGCCAGGGAGCCACCCAGGGAAAGGTTAAGAGAAAGTGGTAAGGAAATAGTGGAGCTCTTGCACAGAGCAGGGTGCTCGAGCCTCAGAGCAACGTGGGGGCTGTATCGGTGTGTGGTGCCCAAGCTGGGCAGGCCTCAGCAGCCTGGGAAACCGTGTCCAGTGTGTGCCTGGGGCTTCCAGCATCCAGTGGCAGTGCTGAACAGGGGAGTGTCATCTGGTAATGTTGGGGCTTAGCATTTCATAGCATAAAGGGTGTGAGTTCCCAAAAATGAAGTATACTGCAGAGGAAACACGTGAAAAGTCGTGCGGTTGTGTTAAAGAAGAATTGAGGGAGAAAAAGGCTAAAGCACTGAATAAACTAGCACTGTTATTCAGAAATACTCGGCATGTTATCCGTGAGGGTGTAATACTCTGTGCACGTGCCCTTTGGGAGGATTCTCGGGAGTGTTTGCGTTCAAAGCAAGCTTGAGAAGAGCTGCAGAGCTCTTGTTTAAGGCGTCCCTGGGGCTGAAGATCTTGTTTTGGTTTATGGAAGGATGCGAAGCTATCGCTTCTTTAGAAACCATTTCGCATTTTAAAAAAATGTTAATTGTGTATTTGATCTCTGAGATTAACAGCTTGACTGCTAGGGAGGCTTGTCCCAGCGTGCTGGGAGCCCTGCATCCCTACAATTGCTATGGAAAACGTTGGAGATCTGCTAAGCCCTGTCTCCTCACAGGGACTCCGTGGTCAGGAAGGTGTTTACCGAGTGTTGGAGATGCTTTTAGCAACATCTCCATAGTAGAGCTGGGGTCTGTTTGTGTCTATTGCTGTTTAGCTGATGCAGTTACATGGTGATGACTGTCCTGCTTCTTCCCAGACTGTTTTCACTTTCTGCTTGGGTGCTGTTGAAGTGGTGCCATCCCGGTGCAGCTGATGCGCTCCGCTCCGTGGTCTCCACTTTGCACTCTGCTCTCAAATGACCCTGTTCCTGGAAAGCCAAATAACCCATGGACCCAGAGCTGGGCAGGCGGCCCTTCTGCAGCCAGCTGGTGCTGGCCTCCTTGCCCACAGAAAGCTCAGCTCTTAAGTCTGCAAGTCCAGCTCAAACTTGGCAAGGCTCGTCCCGCAAATCCCTAGGCCATCTGTGCCGCTCGTCGAGTCTCCCTCCTCTGCCCTGTTGCCTTCCCTCTCTGCTCATCCACTCACTGTGGAGGGAGCAGAGAGACTTCAAGAGACTCAATAAGCTCAATTCAGTGAGATTTTGTTCATTGTCTGTGATAGTTTGTTTTCCATTTTGCTTTTCTCCTTGGGCTTGAGAGGAATCCCCAGGTCTCTGCTTGTACAGTGCAGTGAAGTGTTGGAGATTGAGGAGCCCATAGAGGCCATAAAGATACTGCAAAATAATCTTGGGGGCTCTTTTAACCTTAAAGGGTAAAATGGGTAGTTTCTCCCCGAGTAGTTTAGGACAAAAACGGCTTTCTGAACCTGAGCAATGGAGCTGGTCTATCAAAATGAACCCAGGTACCACTGCTCTATTGCTGCTAACATCACTGTAAGGTGACACTATGAAGAAAATTAAATAATGCTGTGCTCGCAGTACAGAGAGCTAATCTCATCATCCTAGTGTCTTTGTACTCTGTGACTAGAAATCCCTGCATCCAAAATTATCCTTAGGAAGCCTCTGATGGATTCTCCCTGCCCAATATAGCATGTCTGCATCTGGGACTTGTTCCTTTGCAGGTGCTTTTCTTTTGGAGTAAGAATAAAAAGAACGTTTTTGTCATAGATTAACATGTGAGATGGGGAGGGAGAGGACTGGTGCTCGCTCATGTGCTGGGTGATCCTCTGGGCCCAAGTGCCCTTCACGAGCATCCTTATTAGGTGCTTAGAATAACTTGTAATACTTGGTGAGGGCTAAATTTTAGGAGTCTTTCTAGTGCAAAATCTCTAGGTTTTTGTCCCTGGGGTTTAAGGGGGCTCTAGAATTAGCTTAGGAGGCTGGAAATGGGTTTTGAGGGCAAACCCTCCTCGAGGGAGCTCCCATGGGATGGAGCCAACGGGGCTCCCCATCAAACGAATCGTCAGCTCGCTGCCTTCTGCCGTGCAAGAGGAAAAGAGGTAGCCCTTGAATGAAGGCAGCTGAATTGGCCTCCCAACAGGGGCTGGGTTTATAAATAGCAACGTGGAAATGCTGTAAAAGTGTCCGCTAGGAACAAAGCGGCTTTGTGTTTGTGTGCGAGCTGCAGGGCAGCAGTCGTAGTAGCAGGGCAGGGCTTGTGCTTTCCCTCACCTCCCTGGCACCTCAAATGCCCCCTGTGCTTTGGGTGTCGCGGGTTTGGACCTAAATGCACCSGCATGGGCAGCTTCTCCTCTGAATCTTCAGGATTTCGTTTTTTGACTTCTCCTTTTCCCTTTTTTGCTTCCAAAAATCACTCACCACGAGTTTATTATTGTGGAAACTGTGTATAATTGTTAGCAGAAAACATTTTCCTTGCAGCTTTTCTGCAAACATGCCGTTTTCTGCCATCCCCTTGGTTGGCATTTGGTTCTCCCATGCTGTGCTGCAGCAGCCAGGCCTCGGCTCACACCAGCCCACAATAACCTGGGGCTTTGCTCCTCGCCCAGGGTGCGACCAGGACACGAATTCAGCTGATCAGCTTCTCAAAGGAGATTTGCTGCAATGTGTTTCTTGTTTGCCTTTTATTTTTCTYCCTCCCTTTTAAATGAAAAGCTGAGCCTTGAATTGCTAGGTCTTTTTCAATGGAAAGAACAGCATCCCCACTGATTTTGGTTCTCCAGCGGGTGGGTTCCAGGCTAAGATCTTCCCTGCAGCAGCTCCCTGAGATTGGGTCCAGCTCCCTCCTTGGCTGCTTTGGCTCCCCAAAAGGATGGATAATAGAGAGGAAAACCCTCAGAAGTGCCATAAGCCAGAGAAATATCCATAAATCAGGGCTTTTAGATACATCTTTGTGTAGCCATAGGGTGCACGTGGCACGTGTGTGGCAGCAATAAGCTCTTTTTTTTGCAAAGAAAGGCCCCTTCCTGTCAAGCTGCACCACACAGAGTCTCTATGGCAGGAGAGAAATGGCTCTGCATCACATCTGGGTGTTCTCCTCATCCCCCACCATTTCTTTCATGCCCAAAAAACACTTTGCAGGAGACTTCTGGTCACTCGGGCGCCCGTCGAGCAGTTTCCTCTCTTTGTGCTCCAGTTTCCCCAGCTGTAAAAGGGGGATGATGAGACCGGTTTTCTTTTGTCAAGCACTTAGAGATGTGCTTACGAAATGTGCTATTAAAAGGCTTTCTATGTATAACTTCCATACAAATAGTGGTCGTCCAGGTTTATTTGAATTGCCTTATGCAARCCCAAGGTTCTGCACATCCTTTGTTTTTAACAGAGGATGCTCAAAATGCCGCGCTATTGATTGCTGCTGCTAAGTATTAAAACACTAAATATAATCACCATCTATTATCAGCCATTCTGGTGGTCTGGGGACTTGGAGGGCAGTTTTGCCTAGCTTGCTGCCTTCATTACCCCAGAGCGATCAATAAAAGGTTTTCAGCAGAGGCTTTTAGTGCCAAGTGGTTCAAATGTTCTTCCTGTGCATCCTGCGCGGGATGATTTCAGCTCTAGGAGAAAGATGCAGCCATCCTTTCTGAGGTAACCTAATTACACCGAAATATTTAGACTGCCAGTTTGGGTTTAATTCCCCTCCATCAGCCAACGGCACCGGCTCGGGCTGGGCGGGTTGTCTGTCTTGTCATCGCGCTTGTCAGGTAGGTTCTGCGGGTGGTAATTGCAACAAACCTCCAGGATTCGGGGAGGGGAGAAGAGTGTGGGAGGCGAAGACGAATTGAAGCTCAAACTGGGAAGAACTGCTCAAAAAACCTCAGCTGCTCCCAACCTTTGCTTCTGGTTAGCAAGAACGTTTGTGCGTGTTTGATGGCTCAAAAATCAGTATCTTACCCATGCAGGAGGGCAGAGCCTTGCAGCCAGCCTGTAGGTCAAGGAAAGGGAATGCAGAGCCCAACGTGAAGCACTGAAGTGCTGTGATTGACGCCTGCTAATACAGGGGCATAACCCTGAAATACCCCCAAATCCTGCCCGATATGAGCACTGCTATGAGTGAGTACCGTGTAGGGCATCTTGGTGCAGTGCTTCAGTGGCAGCTTTTTTGTTTTGCAGACTGTTTCCATCCTGGAGCAGAGGCTGACCCTCACTGAGGACAAGCTGAAGGAATGCCTTGAGAATCAGCAGAAAATCATTCAGAACAAAGTGAACTGACTGCAAGAGAGAGAAGTGAAGGTGCTTGGAGGTTTGAGGTTTGGTTGTTTGGGTTTTTAACTGAGTGTGTGTGACTAATTATTTTGAGAGAACTGATTTCTGATTGACATGTACAGTTACTGTATCTGTAAATACAAAGCTTTGTTACTTTGCTAAAATAAAGAGGTTTTTATTCACGAGCCTGGATAATGATTGTGATCTCTTGTGTTTTCCAGATATTGTAGTAGCCCGAGGGTGCTATGAGGACTGCCTAGCAAGGTGGCATCCCGTAAGCCTTAGCTGCTGTGCAGTGAGTTTGAAAGTGCTTGAACCTCTTGGAATTGTCACGTGTGTCTCGCACACAGTGCCAGGCTGGCCATAGGTTACGGGCCAGGAGCTCCATAATCCTGGATATTAGTGCAGAGAAGCCTGATGTAGTGGGAGCTCCCAGGCGATGACCTGGAGTGGCTGGTGTTGCAGAAGGTTCCTCACCCCTGCCCCATATGGTGCTAAGGTGGCTAACACAACAGATACCACCTGATATTTGTGCAGAGATGCTGTTCCAGGGGCTGGGATTTAACCCACTCCCTCATCAGGGTGTGGAAAACAGCTGGGGCTGCAGCGGAGGCTCCAGCCAGTGAGACGTGGCGCGGATTCCATGGCCTTTTGCTGCATCTCGGACTGCTTTTTAAATTAAAGGCAAGGGAGAGGGGAGAAGGAGGAGGCAAACCAAGAGCAGAGCACTTGCTGCAATCCTAGAACATCCTCCTCCACGCTGGAACACCGTTAACTTTCAGTCATCTGGCAGATGTTCTCGCAGCGAAGAGCTCATCACTCGCACCTCTGCTCTCCCGCTGCTGCTCCTCCAGGACTTTTGCAGGGCTCTAGCAGGTGCTCAGTATGTGGCCTCACAAGAATTCGGGCTTTGGGGAATCCTTTTCTCCAGCACCTCTTCTGCTAACGTGCACTGGAGATCTGCTTTCTTACAGTAGGCTCTCTTGACCAGTATCACCCACATTCCTGGAGAAACAGGCTGCAGGAACTTGGCCTTCTGCGGGTTAATGAAACACTCCTCACTATGGTCTTTCTGACCCCTTATTAAGGAGTTTCCATTGATTCCAGCCCTTGGCTATTGTCCCTTCTCCTTGCTCACATTCCAGACTCGTGSAGCTTCCCAAGCCGCCTGTCTCCAGATGTGCAGGGTGATGGTGACGCCGGCCCAAGCTCTGGCTGCCACTTGTGCTTCATGTCAAGCTTAGCTGATCTTAACATCAGCCCTGGGCTTTTTTGCACCTGTTGAGGGCTGTGTCTGATGTCCTTCCACATCTCTAAGAACTTCTCGTTGGCATTATCACAATTTCATTCTTTTTTGGTTTGCGCAAAGCCACGAGTTTTCTCTTTTCCGAGTGTATTTAGCTGATTATAAATTTGAATTTCTCTCTGCTCAACCACAGGCAGTTGGCTGTTTCCAACCTCCGAGTCTGATAAAATCATTATTTTCTCTTAGATGAAGCTAATGGAATCAATTCATGGTATTCTCCAGTGCTCTAAGCTTTCAGTGGCTTTTTGCTGAGAGACTGACATCATTTTCTCATTGCAGTTCTGCTCGTGCCCTGATGGGTAGGGAGAAAGGGAGCCAAAAGTAGGTAAGGCTCATTTGCTACTTGCTGCTAGAAAAAAGCTCCTTCTACATTGATCTGCTATGACTGAAGCAGTGGCACAAATATATTGTAAGAGCCTGATTTATTGGCTTGATCCCAAATGTTCTGGCCTAGCCTTTGAGGGAGGAARCTTAAATTATTCCAATGTTCATCAATTTTTAAACTCGTTTTTTAAAAATAGCATTCTCCTCCTTTTCTAATGTCTTGAAGACCGCAGAAGCAATTTGTGTGTAGTCTTTTATGGAGAATGTCAATAAAAACGATTGGGATGCATTTGATATAGACWCTTTTTCCGTTCAGCTGTCCTGAGCAAATGCATCCGGGAGGTAATTGGGCTCCTCAAATAGATAAGAAACTTGGGTGCTGCAGGGCGAGCTGAGGGAGCGCGGGGCAAGGTGCTTTTCCATCGTCGTCTTCAAAGCATGAATTTGATCAGTGCAAGAGGGTAAAAAACACCAAAAAGAGGTGTAAAAAAACATCAAAAGGGTGTAAAAAACACCAAAAAAAGGGCTTTTTCTCAGTGTCGAGTACTGGTTTGCATGTCCTTGCATTGAGGCTGCCTTGCAAGCTGTGAGTGATGAAATCTCTCCGAGAGGAGACTGCAAAGGGTTAAGGATTTTGTTTTGGATCTCGGAGCTGTGCTTGGAGCCAAGTTCTTAAAAAAGTAGTTTAATTTGTTGCCATTACATTTGCCAGACGGATGACCTCACTCAACTTTTAGCAACAGTTCTTTGTGCCGAGATTGGCCCTTGGGGAAACTGGCTGTGCCTGCAGGCTGCTGCAAATGGATTTTTGGCCGCTGTGAGTACGGAGCATGTTAAACATAATCATGATCTGTGAAGAAAGTAAGAATCTTCGAGCACTGCCCACTTTCCTTCCTGTCTGGGAGCTGGAATTGGGCAGAGAGCACAGTTTAGCTCATAACTGAATAGGCAAAAAACACAGCGCTGTGATACTGGTGCTTCTGGCCTGGAAGCTRGATGGCCGGGAGAGCCTTGTGTCACAGTGTCACAACTGGACATGTGTCTGCCAGTTAACTGGCAGATGAAATCCAACTATGACCTAAGCTGTTGGGCTGAAACCAGCCAATTTCCTGGTACGAACCGCTTATATAATGTCTTAAAAGAGCTGCCTTGGAACGAAGTGTTTCTTGAAACATGAGTGAGTAGGAGGGGAGGGAGAGGGATCATTCCGCAGAGGTTCGTCACTGATGACACGGATGCAGGAGGCTGTGCCTGCTGTTTCAGGAATGGTTGGGATCCCCAGGCAATGCCAGCGCTTTCCAAATGGCGGGATCTGATCAGCTGCTGTTATGGGAAGGAGATGTGATGGGAAGGAAGCTTCTCTCATCGATGCTCATCTGTTTGACCTGGGTTTAGCCACCTGTGGAAAGCCCAGTATTTGTCTCTGGAGAGCCGGGATCTATTTCCAGCTTTGCAAWGAACCGCTGTTGCCCACAAGCGTCGTGCAGTCCCTCCTTTTCCTTGTCAACACTATAAATGTCTTCTTTTTGTGAAATTCAGGTGCTGTGGAGGACGAGCCCCTCGGAGATTTGGCTGTTCCTTGGCAGGGAGAAGAAAGGTCAGTCTGCCTCAAGTACAGCCCTTGGCATCCTTGGCTTCCTCCCCGTTTCCTGGTAGCCTGTGGCCGGTGCTGCTGAGCACCCCTGTGCTGACACCCTCCRGCCCTGCCTCCCTCATGAGGCCGCGCAGCTGGTTTTGCTGTCACGAAGCAGCTAGGCTCAATCAGCACGGGGACCCGGTGCCAAAAAGCTGTCACCTCGATCCTGCGTCGCTGTTTCCGCTCCCTGCGGGCGTCTTCCATGCAGCTAATGACCCGCTGCCGTGTCCCGGGCGCCTGCCAAGTTGGGGAGGTGGCAGCAGAAATCCTTTGGGATGCGGGGATGGTTTTTGTTCAGAAAGTGTCCAGCAAGCAGTGCAGGAGCCTGCTTCAGGGCTTCAGGGTGTGCTCAGCACCACAAGGACCCCCTATAGCACAGCTGGGGCTCTGCTTTTCCCTGTCTGTGACCCCCTGGGCCACGTGTGGGTCCTGTTCCCGGCAGGAACAGCCCTGCCTGCCGCTGCGCTTGGCCCCTGCGCTGTGACAGGCTGCRTTGTGCTGATTCCCTGCAAATGCAGGGAGATCTCCTTTCCTTGCCCTCCTGGAGTGCCAGATTCTAGGGAAGGCCCTGCTGGTTTCAGGAAATGCTGTTGTTTTGGTGCTGGGGATGGGTTTGTGCTCGGTTGTGTCTTCCTGCTGCGTTGCTCTCCTTGCCCGCAGCTCTGCTGGCCCCAGTGCAGCGCGAGGGATCCCCAGCTCCGGCACAGGCTGTCGGAGGAACCTGGGCAATGCGAGAGCAGCCTTTGCTGGTCCGGCCCTGCATCCCTGCTGCTCTGCTCAGCAGCACTCAGCACAGCTCGAGGCAGCTGCAGAGTTCCTGGGAGATGAGAGCTGGAGGATAAGGAAGGAAAAACTCCCAGGATGGGCCCAATGGCAGAGACTAAAATCACACACACACGGGGTGATGGAGAGGAGCGATCAGACAGTGGTACCTCCGTGTTTGCAACGTGTCTGTTCTAGAACATGGTCTGCAGTGAAACACCATGGCAAGAAGCCCCCAGTGCTTCCCACCTCCCTGGCTTGCTCTGCAGAAAAGCCCCTGGCCGTGATCTCTTGGGATATCGGTGCGCCAGCGAGTTATTAAGCAGATTAAGGAATTGTTTTAATGCCACTTACTTTCTTGYTTAAGGATCAATGTGCACCTGCTGGGTTATTATTTTGTAGATCCTGCTTGTTTCCTAAGAGAGAGATGATTTGACCTGTGTRTTTACGAGATGTGTTTCTTTCCTTCCCTCTATTATTTATGAAATCAATGCATCTTGAAAAGGAGCACTCTGCAAAGCGTCTGGAGCGAGGCGTGCTCGATGGGAACGCGAGAACGTGCCTGCTGGCGGGGCCTCCTGCAGCAGCCCYGTGCCCGGGGCTCCGAGGAGGAGGAAGGAGCCCTCCTGAGCACAGCATCTCAGGTGAGGTGGGGACAAACACAGGCTCTTGCCCAAGGAGCTGCAGGGCTCGTAGTGGAGCAGGGCAGGGTGTTTCCTCTCGGTGTTCAGGTTGGAGAAAGGACCTCAGCCTTGGGCTTTGCGCTGGYGTGGTCGTGGGCTGGTGTCAGGCAAGAGCCCAGCTCTTGCCCTGGCTKCAGCAGGCCACAGCCCAGCACTGACCTGCCTTCTGAAAGGAGCCTGAGCCCCCAGGAGAAGCAGCTTTTTGCTTCTCAGCTGGCCCGTGTAGAGCAGTTTTTCAGTGGCAGCTGGGGATGTGGATAGAGGCATCCCCTGCAAGCGCAGGAGCAGAATGAGGGAAAGTGTCTGCTCATTCTCCCCTCATGCTGCGCCTTTCCTGCTGCAAACGAGCTCCCGTAGTGCCCGAGGGCACGAGCCGCATCCCAGCAGGATGCCTGTGCCTCTGACAAGATGAATGCCTCAG